CTTTACGTATTTTTAAGGTTAGGTTAATAATCTTTTTATGCAAAGGTTATACAAGTTCTTTATATTTTTTAGATTTAAGCTTTGCTAATATTCTCCATCTTGATTTGCTAATATTCTCCATCTTGTGGGCTATCTTTTCACTTTCTTAAAAATATCCTTAGATGTGCAAAAGTTTAAAATTTTAATGAAATATAATTTGTTTTTCTTTGTTCCTTGTAATTTTGGTATATAGCTTAAGAATCTACTGCCAAATGCAAAATCGTACAGATTTACCTGTTTTCTTAAGAGTTTTATAATTTTAGCTATTATGTTTGAGTGTTTGATCCATCTTGAGCTACTTTTTTTAATATGGTGTGAGATAAGGATCCAATTGTATTCTTTTTCCATGTGGCTTTTAGGCATTGGGCTGCTAACTGCAAGGTCAGCAGTTCAAACCCACCAGCATGAGAAAGATGGGGCTAGTGCTCCAGTAGAGATTTACAGTCTTGAAAAGTAGGGATGCTTTGAGTCAGAACTGACTCGATGGTCGTGGATTTGAGTTTTATCCAGCTGCCCCAGTACTTGTTGAAAAGACTATTATTTCTCTATTGTAGCATCCTTTTGTTAAATCAGTTTGGTCACAGATGTATGGGTTTATTTCTGGGCTCTCAATTCTATCCCATTAACTTACATATCCATGCTTGTGGCAGTACTGGCCTGCTTATGTTGCTTGCTCATAAGTACAGGAAATGTTAGTCTGTTTGGGGCTCTTCTCAGTCCCTTACATTTCTATGTGAATTAAAAAACTAGCTTATCAGTTCTTAAAAGCAGGCAGCTGGAATTTTGATAAGGATTGTCCTAAATCTGTAGATCAATTTGGAAAAGTATTGCCATCTTACCAAGGTCAGTTGCTATAAGTTGGAATCAACTCAACAACATCAGGCTGTGGGTTTTTTGTTTTGTGTTTTGCCATCTTAACAATGTTGTCTTCCAACCCATGAACATGGAATACTTTTCCATATCTCATATCTTTGTTTGTTCCATGGTGTTTTCTATTTTTCAGAGTATAAACTTTACACTTACTGTTGAATTTATTTCTCTACGTTCTTTTTGATAATATTGTGAATGGAATTATTTTAATTTTCTTTGTAGATTGTTCACTACAAATATATAAAATACAATCAATTTTTGCACATAAATCTTACAACCTTGCTGAACTTACCAGTTTTAATAAAATTTTAGTAAACTTCTTAAGGTTTTCTACCTACATGGTGAGTGATGCCACTTGCAAACAAAGAGACAATTTTTCTTCTTCAGGTCTGATCTTGATGCCCTTCCTTTCTCTTGCCTACCTCCAGTACAATGTTGAAGAAAAATGACGGCGCGGACATCCTTGTTTTACTCTCTCGGGAAAAGCAGCTAGTCTGTCATCCTAAGGATGCAGTTAACAATGGATTTTTCAAAGGTACCCTTTATCAGGTTGAGGACATTCCCTTTTAGTCCTAGTTTATTGCTTCAGGACAAAGGAATGTTGAATTCTGTCAAATGCATTTTTGTATTTATTGAAGTGAACATGTGATTTTAAAAAAAATTATACTGATGTATACATTGGTGGTAATCCTAGAGAAGCAGATTACCAAGTCTTTCTCTCACGAAGATGCTGGGTAGGTTCGAGCAGCCAACCTGCAGTTTAGTAACCAAGCACTTAACCAGAGCTTCACCTGGGCTCTTTATCAGGATAGCAATGGCCTCCTACAGTAAACCTCATATATGCAAGGAGGTTTCTTTCCTCTATTTTTTTAAGTTTGTGAAAAGAGGCATTAATTCCTCTTTAAATAGTGAGATTCAACAGTGTCCCACCAGAGCCTCCGTTTTTATTTGTGAGTAGTTTTAAATATGAATTCAATTTCTCATTATAGGTTAATTCAGATTGTTGATTTCTTCTCGAGTCCATTTTGATGGTTTGGGTCCATCTAAAAATTTGTTCCTTTAAAAAAAAAAAAATTTGTTCCTTTCAAAGTTCATGCTAGTTAATGTAGTAGATACAATTTTTCATAGTATTCCTTTATAATCCTTCTCATCTTTGTATGGTAAATCCCTGCTATAATTTCTGATTCAAGTCACTGGAATTTTTGTTTTTTCTGGATCAATCTAGCTTTGTTACTTTCAAAGAATCAGTTTTTGGTTCCATTAACTTTATATTTCACTCATTTTCACTTCAATCCTATTTCTTTCCTTCGGCAAGTTCCACCATCTTAATGTGGGAGATTGGGTTACCAATTACAGTCATATTCCCAGGTTCTCTCCTGTAAACCAATCATCTTATATATTAGTTACCCTGTATCTTCATTAAACCTGTAAATCTCCTTCCAAATTGCCTTTTAAATAACATTTTTATGTGTTTCTGGCAAAGGTTTATACAGCCATTTCAGTTCCTATTCAACAATTTCTACATATGTTGCTCAGTGCCATTGCTCACATTCTGCACAAAGTGTGAACATTCTCATTATCTCTGTTCTGTTTCTACTCCTTAGTTCCTCTGTCCACTCACATTCTCATCTTCATTTAAAGTAATTGTTGACCACTTGGTCCATATAGGTGCTTTTTTTAAAAGAAGCATAGTATTTACAGGTGATAGTCTTTTTTTTTTTTTTTTAGTCAATTTGTTAATATAGCTACAAGATGACCTCAGGGGTTAGTATTGATTGATTCAAGATTTGAAGAATATCTCAAGGAAAGTTTCAGGGAGCCCTCCCATCTCACCCAATCCAGTTGATACATGGCTCTTTGTTAAGATTGTGTTCCACATTTTTCTCCCATTCTATCAGGATCATGATCATGCACAATTGTTCTTAGAACATCGTTAGCCTTCTCTAAAGTCAGCTTCCTCGGGAAAGATCTGGAGTTATCTGTTAAGTGGCCTGCTTCTTTACCCAGGCAAACTCCCTGAGCCAGGGCTCTGGAGATGGGGGCAGAAACAATGGCAAGCTTCAGAGTGACACCCCAGCTCTAGAAGCTGAGCACTTAAAGAGGGATGTGGTTGCCAACGGTCTTCTTGGTTTGTGTCTTCTGGTGTAGAATCACAGCCAAAGTAGCCAGGACACAGAGCAATTGGCTCCCCAATGTTCTCAGTGCACTATATGCAAGGTATAGTCTCACACATGAAATGGAGAGGGGCAGAAGAAAGCAGCATCCACCTCTTGAACCTGCAGCTCTGGGCTTAGCCTCAGCAACAGATAACCGCGGGCAAGATGAGAAACTCAGACGTCTTGTTCCTCCAGGTGACAAAGGTGGTTAGAACTGAAAGCTGGGGGAAGAGGGAGTCAGGTGTTTTTGACTGAAACCACACAGATTGGAGTTTCCTCCTCCTGCCCAGAGGGGTGAGAAAGGCAAAGTCTTGATTCAACCCCCACAGATTTGTCTTTCTTACAATTTCCATCGAGTAATTATTTCTTCACTCACTACTTTCCCTGAGGATCATTTCAAGAGGTTTCCAATGGGATTGTGGCTTTTGTAATTTTCCTATTTCCACTGGGAGCAGGGCAATGGGGCTCCTTGTGCTGTCACGTTGTTCCTGAACTGAAAGACTGATGTTGCTGAAGAACTGAAGAACTGCTACAATAACCTGCAGAGCCAACGATCTTTGTTAGCTGACCCTTTCAGGTGGTTAAGCATTGTGCTGCTAACCATGAGGGCAGTCGTTGGAAGCCCACAGCTGCTCCGAGGGAGCAGAAAGCTTGGGCTTCTGCTTCCATACGTAGTCACAGCCTCGGAAGCTCACAGGGAGAGTTCTACCCTGTCCTATAGGTCACTATGGGTCAGCATTGATTTGATGGCAGCAGTTTTGTTTTGTTTGGAGGGTGGGGGGAGGAGGTAGAATTGCAAAGTCAATGTTTGGAACCCCCACCCATTGTTTCAAAGGAGAAAGATGAGGCTGTCTGCTCCCATCAAGATTTATTGTCTAGGAAACCAAAGGAACAGTTGTGTCCTGTCTTGTGTGTGTGTGTGTGTGTGTGTGTGTGTGTGTGTGTGTGTGTCCTGTCTTATAGAGCAGTTACGCGTTGGACTTGACTCAGCGGCAGTGGGTTTGGAATGCTTTTTGATCTGGTCCTTTACAGAAAAAAGGTTTGCCAGTCCCTAACTTAGGTTCCTGCTGCTGGTCCACACTTGAGAGTTGCAAGGACTTAAGTTATTTGAGTGGGAATCACAGTATAGACTAAGAGCCTGGTTCAAAACCTACTTTATCATAGAGGTATATAGTTAGGAGCCCTGGTGGCATAGTGCTTATACGTTGGGCTGCAAACCACAGGGTCACCAGTTCCAAATCACCACTGCAAGGAGAAAAACGGGGCTTTCTACTCCCATAAAGAATTAGTCTCAGAAACCACGGGGGCAGTTTCTACCCTGACCTATAGGGTCGCTATGGGTCGGTATCGACTGTATGGCAGGGAGGTTGGTGGGGGATTTTTGGAGGTATATAGCTCAATTGGGGGAGAGGAGGTAATGATAGAAACAATGTTATCTACCTGACTGGGCTGTTGTGAGAATTCAACGTGAGAATGTATTCAGCTAATGAGCGCCATCATCAAGCACGTTAAGCCATTTCTCAGAGACGCTTCCAGAAAACGCAAGCTTTGGAACGGTTAACAAGTTCCAAGAATAAACTTCTCCAGAAACGAGGCTTACTTTTCCTACCGGGGGGCGCCAATCGTCCCTAGTCAAGTTGAAACCCCCACCCAGCCAGAACTCCAGGCGGGCTCGGAAAACGCCGGTCCTCTCCGGCGGAGGCGCCCAAAGCTCAAGCTCGCCCCCACAATGAATGAAAGCCACCTTGGGAGAGCGCTCCCCAACGCACCAACCGCACGAAGGAAAGAAAGTAGCCCCAATCTTGAGGAGGACCGGGGCCTCGCTGGCCCCTGCCGCTCCTAGCCGGACCCAGGTGGTGGCCGGAGCCGAGCCCCTGGAGCGTCCACCTGGGTCGGGCGGCAGGGCCTCGGCCCGTCGGGGCTGCGGGCGGTTACCTCGCAGTTGAACTCCATCTCGGCGTCCATGGTGACGATCCGCACGGTGAACGTCTTGGGCTGCTTCCTCTTGAGCGAGCTGAAGCTCATGCGGGAGGCGATGGCCCCGGCCATGGTGCGGGGCTCGGGCCCGCGCCCTCGGTGCCCCCGCGGCCTGCACTCGGGACCCCTTAACCGCCCTGGAGCAGCCGCACAGGCCTCAACGCCACCATGGTGGCCGGCCGACGGGTCCCGGAGCGGGGTGGGCGATGCGGGCGCCCCGCAACCCGCATGGGCCGCGAGGACCCTGCCCCGGAGCGGAACGGGGCGTCGCGGGGCGGGCCCTGCCGGCCGCGGGGAGGAGACTCTGCGGGCTGGGACCGACGGTGCGGGCGCGGCCCGGCGTTGGCGAAGTCGGGCGGGGGAAGCCCAGACACGGGGCCCCCTCGACGGCAGCAGACCAAACCCCGCTGGCTCCCCAGCGGCCGACGGGGGTCTTGGAGACGCACTGCGAGCAGGCGCGCCCACACGCGCGCGCTTGTCACCGTCCCTCCTCCGCGCGCCCCCGGCAAGCGTCCCCCGCCTGCTACTCCAGGCCGGCTCCCCACCCCGCCCTCACGCCCCTCCGACCACTACAGACGGTGCAACCAAACACAGCGGCTGCCGTCCACAAGCTACGATTGGCTGGCAGCGCGGAGGGGCGGGCTCTTTGTGCTCGGCTCCACCCCCTTCGGAGAAGCTCCACCAATTGAGTGCTCCGCTCATCACGGCCGGCGCCGGGCGTGAGGTCGGCGCTGAGTGGCTGTGGCATCAGTCACTCCGAGCGCTTTTGTTGTGTAGGGTACGCCCACTCTAGCAAGAGTGGTTGAGCCGGCGCACCCTCGCGCTCCTTTCGCGGGAGTCGGGTCCCCTCTCCGCGCCTGTGGACAGAGCACCAGCGGAGCGCGACGCCTCCGAAAGCGCGTCTCCGACCCCGGCGGATATTTCGTTGAAGCTCTCGGTTCGTTAGATTTGTTTTACAGACTTTTAACAGCACGGGTGAAGGACCAGTGGCTGACATTTTTCCCGCCAGATTCTTCGACTTCGCTCTTGGAGAGAGACGACTGTCCCAAAACTCAAAAACCAAACACATGGCCTTCGAGTCGATGCCAACTCAGCGCCCTGCAGGACAGGGTGAAACTGCCCCTGTGGGTTGTTGGGATGGCAGCTCTGTACGAGAGCAGAACGCCCTGTCTTTCTCCTTGGGAGGGGCTGGCAGCTTTGTACTGCTGACCTTGCACTTGGAAGCCCGACTTAACAGTTACCTAAAATCACTAGTTTGGGTGTAAACGTGCTGATCTCAAAGGATCGTTTAGGAATTTAAGCGAGTTCATTAGTACGTAGAACGCTTTAGTACCGTGGCCGGCACATATTAAGTTGGCTTCTAGGAGACTGTTTTGATAAGTCAAAAATAGTTGCGAAAATGAGTGTTTTTCATTTTGTACTTAATTTGTGATTTTTCATTTTTTAGCCATATAGGTCACTTACTTGTATTTTAATGTCATCAAGAGTTATACTGGGGGGAAATTACTAAAAACAAACAAACAACAAATATGCTCCTCTCACCCCAGAAAAAGTCCTCAAAAAACTGTAAGAGGGAAGAAAAGGTGTTTTTTTATGCCATAAGCATAAAATGAGATGTGATCTGTCACAGGTAATCCACTAAAGAGATTTACAGAAACAGAAAGAAACTAGATCTTTTGTGTAGCCACGTGGATACAACTCATTACATCCCAGTGTAAGATAAAGTGGCCAATCTCTGTGGCAGGGGAGAAAGGCCCTGGCAGTGCTGCCGGGCGCTGTCCAGAAAGTATTGGGCTACTAACCTCAAGTTGAGTGATTCAAACCCACCAGCTGCTCTAAGGGAGAAAGCTGAGGCTGTCTACTCCCATAAAGATGGACAGCCCAGGAAACCCTGATGGATATGAGTAGGAAACTATGGAGTGACAAGAGTTTGATTTGGGATGGCAGAAGAACTAAATTATGCTCCCAGGAAACTGAAAGATGGAGGTGCGAATCTTCTGGATGACTGCATTCCAAGAGAGATGGCTCCAAGATCTTTGAGGAAATATCCTCAGTTTACATCCTTTTCAGAAAGAGCCCTGGTGTCTTAGTGTTTACACTTTGAGCTGTGATTCACAAGGTCAGTAGTTCAAAACCAACAATTGTTCCTTGGGAGAAAAGACAGGCTTTCTACTCTTGTAAAGAGCTACAGTCTCAGAAACCCACAAAGGCAGTTCTTTTTGTTTTTACAAAGGTAATTCTACCCTGTCCTATAGGATCACTATGAGTCGGCATCTACTAGATGGCAGTGAGGGTTTTTTTTGTTTGTTTGTTTTTTCCAGAAAGAGGAAGGAAGATTTGACCTTTAACAGTTATCTAAAATGAATTCTGAAAGAACTAGAGAGGAGGGGAAGTCCTTTCCTTATTTTCACGTTGTAGTTTTCCTTATAGTTATATAATGGATATATTTGTTCCAATTCACTGCCAGTGAGTCAATTCTGACTCATCGAAACTTTATGAACAGAGTAAAACTGTTCCTGTAGGTTTCTGAGACTGTCTTTTTTTTTTTTTTTTTTGAGACTAAATCTTTACAGGAGCAGACAGCCTCATCTCTCAACTGGGGAGTGGGTTCAAACTGCAGACCTTGTGGTTAATAGCCCAATTCCTAATCCACTATGCCACCAGAGTTCTTTGGATGTATGTGTAGGACTGAATTACATCTTTCTATATTTAAAAAAGTAATAAAATATACTTTTAATGTTGTAAACACACACACACATGTATACAGCAATAAATGATAAGATCCTATCTCTTACACTCACTGTTATTATTTTTTTTGTCTTTTTCTCTTTTTTAAATCATTTTATTGGGGCCTCATACAACTCTTATCACAATCCATATATACATCCCATTGTGTCAAGCACATTTGTACATTTGTTTCCATCATCATCTACTTGAACCCTTGGTATGAGCACCTCATTTTCCCCCTCTCTCCCCGCTCCCCCTCCCTCATAAACCCTTAATAATTTATAAATTATTTTGTCATGTCTTTTTTTTTGAGTAATTTTTTTTCACACTCACTGTTATTGAGTCGATGCCAACTCACAGGAACTTTATAAGACCAGTTAGAACTGCCCCTGTTGAGTTCCAAGACTGGAACTGTTCATGGGAGTAGAAAGCCCTAATTTCCTCCCAAAGAACGGCTGGTGGTTTCGAACTGCCAACCTTGTGGATCAAAGTATAATCACTATGCCACCAGGGGTCCTACGATCATGTTTAGTTGTCAAATTGATTTTGTTTTGAAATAAATAAATTTAATTGTCCAGTTGTTATAGTTAGGTGTCTGAGAGTTGATTCTGACTCAGAGTGATCCTATATGACAACGTAGAATTGCCCCACAAAGTTTCCTAGATCAAATCTCTCTCTTGGGAAACTGCTGGATAGGCTTAGACCAGTGGTTCTCAATCTGTGGGTCGCAACCCCTTTGGGGGTTGAACAACCCTTTCACAGGGGTCACCTAAGACCATCGGAAAACACACATTTCTGATCGTCTTAAGAACTGAGACACCACTCCTCTATCTGTCTCCAGGTGGGTCTGCCCACATGCAGATACGCCCACATATGATACACGGCACAAAGACCATTACATTACCCATGCTACAAGACAAAATTTCATTTGTCATTAGAAATAAATATTTCACAATATAGAATTACATATTGTTTTTGTGATTAATCACTATGTTTTAATTATGTCCCACTTGTAACAATGAAAATACATTCTTCATATCATATATTTACATTACGATTCATAGCAGTAACAAAATGACAGTTAAGAAGTAACAAAGAAAATAATTTTATGGTTGGGGGTCACCACAGCATGAGGAACTGTGTTAAAGGGTCAGGGCATTACGAAAGTTGAGAATCACTGTCTTAGACCATAAACTCTTGGGTTAGAAGTTGTTTGGATGGTGTGTAGGAGACCCCAAATTCTACTATGTTCTGTAGAGATTCTTTTATTAAACCTTAAACTGGACAAAGATAAAACAAAGACAGTAATTCCAAGATGAGGGAAACGATCAGCATGAACAAAGAGGCTAAAATGGAGTCTGCTGACTCAGTGCCAAAGTGTTCCTTATAATCATAGGGTACAAAGAAAGGCACCACCAGATTTGGTGGCAGAACAAGTCATCACTGCCACAGATGTGATAGGTCTAAGTGTGACTCATGATCACATGGCCCAGAGTCACAGTCCTTAAAACCCCAACTTTTAACTTAAACTAGATGAACATATGGTTCACTCACTCACTCTAACTGCCTCTGTGTTGATTCCAACTCATAGCAACCCTGTAGGACAGGGTAGAACTTGGGTTTCCAAGACTGTGATGCTTATGGGAATAGAAAGCCTTTGTCTTTCTCCCAGGGAGAAACTGAGGGTTTTTAAACTGCTGACCTTGAGGTTAGCAGCCCCATATGTAACTACTCCACCACCAGAGTTCCAACATTTGGCTATTTTTAGTAGATCCTTAAGGACTTGCCCAGGCAAGTTCTCCAGTTCCCTATGCAAGCCTGAGGACAAAAGTGTCCCTCTCTGAGCTGGCCTGGGAATTGTAATGTTCTTTCAACACCCCCTACCTGAGGCAAAGCTGCCTCTCACAGCTTCCCCTGAAGAGGCATGGCCACATGACTAATCAAATGTCTTCTGAATTTATACCAAGACTCAAAATGGAGTTCAATTCCACTGTAGACCACACCCCTCCACAAATCAAGTGCGTTAGAATTTCAGTTCTAATACACACTCTAAAGAAGCTGCAGAGGAAAAATGCCTTCTTGTCTAGAAGGCCTTCAACAAGATGCATTAACACAGTGGCTTCAACAATGGGCTCAAGCATCCCAACTGTGAGGACAGCGCAGGACTGGGCAGTATTTACTTCTGTTGTACATAGGGTCACGTATGAGGACCTATGCAGCAGAACTAACTTGATGGCACCTGACAACAACACTCCCAAGTGCTCAATCATTGTGCCACCAGAGCTCCTTCATCGTCCAAAAGAGATGACTTTAACCACAGCAATGTTAACCACCACTAGCATTATCCCCATTCTACAGATGAAGATTATAAGAACAGAGTCACCTGCTGAC